TTTTTTTTTCTATAATGATCGCTGGAGAGAATATCAGGACACAATCAAGGAACAGTATGCACAAGCCTAGAAATTATCTCAGACAGAGCAGTTAAACGAGATTTAGCATCAGTGGGAAGAAACACTGATACTGATTCGGCAAAAAAAAAAGTATCAACAAAACAAAGTTCTGACAGAAGCTTGTGCGATGCAAAAACTGGAAAATGATCGATAGATGCGTTATCAAACTGCACTTCCAACAAGAAATGATGTGAACTTAGAGCGCGATGCAAACTTAGTCAATTTCGCAATCGAACTCAAATCCATCCCTTTGCATTTAACTCACAGCCGGAGATGAAGCCGCTCGTTCTCCAGCACTAAAAAAACGCTTTTAGCAATAGCAATCAGTGGCTGAGAAAGCTGCCGAAATTCCCCACAAATGATCAAAAAAGGCACACTGAGATACTGGATCGATCAGTGATTATAAAAGTAGTGTACTATGTGGTGTGAAGAGGTAAACTTTGGGAGCAAGAAAAACAAAATGCATGTAATACTAGCGTCGAGACTGTGACGTGATATTCCTGGAGAGCAACAAGTCGCTACGATTATTCAAGTGCTAAACAAAAGTTAGAAAGAATACTGGTAGTAGAAATAAAATGCAATGAAAAATTTAGGCCTGCACAAAATTTTACGTGGTCCAAATCTACCTAAAAGCTTCTGTGTTGGAAGATTCTTGAAGGTGTAAACCAACTAACTAACTGCAAACTCATTTGTTTTTACAAAAAAAATGAAACAACCGCCACAATAATGCCAACAGATCTTAGCAGCAAACTAGATATTCACCATACAAAGAGCTCTAAAGCGAAGACGTTGTAAGACTTTGAGTCAATTTCTGCCTCAGCAATGACATCCATTCAATCTGGATAAGCAAAAGTGCTGAAAAAGGATGCTATAGTCAGTAAGGCTATTTGTGTCTAAAAAATCAACGTTGTTTTTGGTAAGAGCAGAGATACCGAGCACCAAAGGGTACCACGAGCAGCAGCATAACATTGTTTTCAGGCACAAAGTGTCAAAAAGATTACAAAAAATGAAGTCCAAAAAGGCCCGTCTTGAAAGCACGATTTTTTCAAAAATGGTAAAAAGTGATTTCAGAGAGAGGAAGAGAAGCAGTCCAAAAGAAGCAAAGTTATTGGCTGAAATTATTGGATTTACAAAAATTTGAAAAAAGACTTCTGGAATTATCGATAAAAGAATGATTGTACTTTGCTTATATCGTTATGTCCGCTTGAAGACCCACCACCGTATCGCCGATCACCGCTCTCCACAACCGTTGTGCCACCAGCCAAATTTGTTGTGTCGTAACGGTGTGTCTGCGGCAAATTCTGCGCGACCAACGATGGAGTTTCATTGGTACGCATTTGTGCCATTGCTGCAACGCCCAGTCCAAGGCCCAAGCCCATGATATTATACTTGGCTAGGACCTGAAAAAAGCCAGAAGCGTTGAATGGGAT